ATCTATCTATCTATCTATCTATCTATCTATCTATCTATCTATCTATCCATCCATCCATCCATCCATCCATCCATCCATCCATCCATCCATCCATCCATCCAGCTAATATCTATCTAATATTTTATGGCACATTCACATCACATTCACATTATATATAGCATATGTTACATAATAAATATAAGTATTTGGGTCAGGAATGCTGTATTTATGTAGAATAGGAATAGGATAGAATAGAAATAGAATTGTTTATTGGCTAAGTGTGATTGGACACACAAGGAATTTGTCTTGGTGCAAATGCTCTCAGTGTACATAAAAGAAAAGATACATTCCCCAAGAGTCAAGAATCATAAAGTGCAAGAAAAAACACACACTCTATATTCACAGTGGATTGCAGGGGAGAGGATGGTTGCATGATACCTCTGCTTTGTTTTCTGACCCTCCAAAACAAAACAAAAAATCAATTTTTTTCTTATTTTTGCCAGTATGTCCCAGTGAAGGGAGACCACGTGATCGGCATAGTGACAGCCAAAGCTGGGGACATATTCAAACTGGATGTTGGAGGCAGCGAGCATGCCTCTCTCTCTTACTTGGCCTTTGAAGGGGCCACCAAAAGGAACAGGCCGAATGTGCAGGTGAGGGACCCCCTCAAAGCACCACGAATGAGGAGCGGGAAAACATCCTGTTGTCCCCAGGGATTGTTTCTGAGCAGACCTGAGTGGGATTTGAGCCGTGACTTAAGGGTTTGGTGTTCAACGTCAACATGTTTGGTCTGGCTTCTCGGTTTGATCTTGTGGTTTGCATTGAAAGTGATTTGTTTCTGGCCAACGACAAAGCCAAAGAGGTGGCCTCATTTTGGCAGTATAGCAGTAGCCCTTAGACTTATATACTGCTTCAAGGTGCTTTGCAGCCCTCTCTAAGCAGATTACAGAGTCAGCCTCTTGTCCCCAACAATCTGGGTCCTCATTTTACCCACCTTGGAAGGAGGGAAGGCTGAGTCAACCCTGAGCCTGGTGAGACTCAAACTGCCAAACTGCTGGCAGCCGACAGAGATCAGAAGTTGCCTGCAGTACTGCATTCTAACTACTGTGGCACCACGGCTCATGAGGTTTGATCTGGATCCATCTGGATCTCTAAATAAAAAACCAGTGTGTTCAATCAGTACTGCTAATCTGGATGCGGCTGGGTTTATTCCTTGCAGTAAGATGTAGCTATTTTAAGAAGCTGCAGTGGGGTCGGCTTTAATACCAGCACATTCATTATGGGTGATTTAAATTTCAAAGGCATTATCTTAAGAGCAGGCAAACCTTTGGGGAACAAGGGCATACGAGATAGCAAGCAGATTGTCAGATACATCTTCTGATTGTATGAGAATGTGAACTGGAAATGCAGCTCCTTGGTCTACTGAAGGCTAAATATTAAGTATAATCATAGTTATTTATTGCCGCTAAAAGCATTAGCTTCTCTTGAGGAAAGCCTCCGGAGCCCGGGGGGGGGGACGGGGGGACGGACAATCCAGGAACCGGGCAGAGGAAACCCTTTGCTAAAATTTTTGAAGCCTCCCCTGATGAGGACCCAACCGAAGTGGGCCTCACTTGGCGCTTCTGGTGAAAAATGGCAGAACGCGAATCTGCCCTATTTGAATGGCTGCTTCTTGTTTCCTTCTTCAGGTGGGTGACCTTATTTACGGCCAATTCATCGTGGCCAATAAAGACATGGAACCCGAGATGGTCTGCATAGACAGCAGCGGCCGGGCGAACGGCATGGGAATCATAGGACAGGATGGCTTCTTATTCAAGGTCTCGCTAGGCCTGATAAGAAAGTAGGTGTGGAGGAATTCATACTCCGGAACTACGTCGTGTATGCCTTTCCCATGTTTCCTAGTGTAGGTTTCTTCCTTTAAAAACCTTCGACCTTAGGCCTCATCAGTTAACACAGGTTAACACAGGTAGTCCTCAGTTAACACAGGTAGTCCTCAACTTACGACAACCGAGGGAAAGTCGTAACACGGGGAAAAACTCACTTAACACGTCTCCCTTAACGTTGACTTCCAGCTCATAGACTTCCAACTCTAGTGCAGTACAAGATAAACACACCCCAACCTCAACTTTTTGCTTTTACACCTTGATATATGGCTTGCCATTCCTATAACACCAAATCTCTCTAATCCACAAAACCAAGGTCAACGTTTCATTTCCCCCCCCCCCCCCAAGCACCAATTCCAGAAGTGATACCCAAATAAGAACATACTTTCCTCTTTGAATAAAATAATCAATTGAACTGTTCCTGCTTTACCTTCCTTGCTATGGAAATAACATGTATTTCTATTAGCATCTAGTTATCTTTGTGAGCTATCACCATTTTTATTTACAAAATTCATTGTATCCTTTGAAATTCTTTGACCTTACTGAAAAGAAAAAGGGGGGAAAACCCCTTTTTCCACCCTTTTTTTCCCTTCAAAGTACTAAAAAAGCCTCCCTTTCTTTCTGTCTTTCCCCTTGTATCTCACACCCCCTTTTCCCTGCTCCCTTTTGTTCCCTTAATTTCCTATTTTTTTCTTCTCTTCTTTTGTATTTTATGTAATAAAATAAAACTTTAATAATAGTAAAAAACAAAAACAAATGTCTCACTTAGCAACATAAACTTTGGGTTCAGTTGTGGTCTTGAGTTGTACAGTAAATTTAGATTCCTGTTGTTGTTTTTTACTTCTGGTTTCTTTTCCCTTTTGTCAAAGTACTGAATGGATTTCACTCCCCATCAGCACTAGCTCTCTTCAATGCACAGATCTCATCAGCATTTTCAGTTTTGCTACTCTGAACTCATACAAACACACAAACTAACAAAGGGAAAATTGCACACCAAAAGCTATAGAGAAATAGTTTTATATCTTTACATGAAACAGTAGACTTCAGATCTTAGGCCTCATTTGATAACAATTCTACTTTTCCAGAAAGGAGAAATTAAAAGCAGTCTTAACAAGGATATTTGGTTAGGGTTTCAAAGGAAAATAATCTGTTAGGAATTGAGATTGGATTGATGTCATGAATTGATTTCTTTTCTTTTTTTCTCTCCCCATTGTTTTAATTTCAGACTCTTGGCTCCAGATTGTGAAATCATGTGGGATTTGGGACAACTATATCCTTTTGAGCTAGTGTTAGGAATGAATGGAAGAATCTGGGTAAAAGCCAAAACAATTCAACAGACTTTAATAATAGCAAATGTTCTGGAAGCTTGTGAGCACATGACAGCCAAACAGAGGAAAGGTGTAATTGCAAAATTGTTAGAAAACTGATGAGGGGAGAGGATGAGGATGATGTCACGTGATAAATTTCCAGAGAGAGAAACAGAAAATGCTGCATATTTAAATATTTTATAGGTATATGGTAAATACAAACTTGAACTGTTACTGTCTATATTTTTAGTTGTTGTTTCTTATACTCCCTCCTGCTTATTTTTCAAATGGGAAGTTCTGTAGTTAGTAGTGGACTTTTTGTAAAGATTTCCAAACTACTGCCTTGTAAATGTTGGTTGAAGATTTTAAAAAAAGGAAATACTTGCTATTTTTTAACTTGATCTTCATTTCATTTTATTTGCAAATACTGGTATGTACAGACTTTTTCAAGAGGATTTTTTTTTAATTCACTGAGATGAATGTACATGCATCATGAGCATAAGACTGAGTTGGATTTTTATTCTGAAAATTAGATGCTGTAAAAACCAAATATAAATAAAGATTACCAGAGAAATATACTGCTGTTAAAAAATCAACCGCCAGAAAACTAAGTTTATCTCAAAGATTTAACCCTTCGGATACAGCTTTTTAAAAAAATGATTGCAAAATTAACATTTGGCATTGAATTAGATTTCTCAGTTACACATTTATTTTGCTTTCTCTTAAAGCATAAAAATATAACCAAATGTTGCAATTAAAACATGATCCATCTGTGACGAGCCAAAACAAGGACGCAAAGTTTTAACTCAAATGGGATAAATAACAATGGCAGCAATTTTAAGAAAAACAAAACTTTAGTTTGACTTATTATGTGGTATTGATTTCTTGCTATTTTGTATCCCTGTGTTATTGATTCCTTTCTATTCTTTGTTTATCTGGTGTTGGTTACTTGCTATTTTGTACTGATTCCGAAAGTAATTGTGGAATTGTTCCCCTTGCTATTTTTTTTAAGTTAAATACATACATGGCAGGTTAGAAGAATGGCTAGCCTTGAAGCAGCTGAGACAGCAGCTTAGAAATGCTCCAAGGAGCATTAAAATCTGGCATTTTTATGCTGCAGGAAGGGCTTTGAGGGCAGATGCAGCAACAAAAAGCATTTCAAAGCAGCCATGCTTTTTCTCAAGATCACTGACTCTGGACATTGATCCTGGGTTTGGATCATTGCAGCTGAATCTCTCCTTTTTCTAAAAGTGGGACCTGTTTGCCTTTGGTCAGCCATGGAGGAGAGATCTAATGCACGACCTCTTCCCTGGTTTAAATCAGTGCCTTTTGTCTTGTGAAATGGACAAGGTTCTGTCAGAAATCTGCAAAAAGGTTGCTTGCCTGACTATCCTCTGAGCACAGAACTCTCCAGAGCAAATATATATAAGAAAAAAAAGGACATTCCTAAGTTAAGTATGAAGAAGATGGAATGGAACCTCACTCGTTCTTATTTAGTGCTTTTATTTGATGAGTCAACTTCCAGTTAGGGTTTTTTTGTTTGTTGGCCTGCAGAATATGTGTGTGTGTGTGTGTGTGTGTGTGTGTGCGCGCACGCACACACACACACATTCCTGCTAGAGCAGGAGAGTCTATTCCAAAATTAGCCTCTACCTAGGATCAAACTCACAGCCTCCTGATTGTGAGGCGAGAGTTCCACCTCTAATTTTATTTTATTATTTTGGGGCTGAGGATAATCCAAATCATGGCTTGAAGGAAGGAATTAGGGTATCAAAAATGAGAACGAAATCAAGTAAAAAAATGAGAACATTTGAGGTTATTCTGATGTTATTCTGCGCTGTAAATGTGTCACTTTCCTAGATTCAGAAGGAATGCTGACCCTTGTGCCAGATTTATGGTTGTGTTATTTACACAGACCAAATCAAATTCCTGTCTGGCATGTCATGGTTATAGAGAAAATAATAGTCACGTCTTCCCTTTCCTTACTTTCTAATTAATACCTTAGAAGGGTGAAAAAAGGGTCACTTTCCAGCTATGGTTGGAGAATTAATTAGGAAAAAGAAGTTATTTATCAAGGTTGGGGCTTAAGTAGGTGGCTGTCTTGGCCAGCTCTCCGAAGCAGAAGGAAGACGGGCAAGGAACATGAAAAATGAACCCAGCCAATATTCCAAATCTCTGACTTAAGTCCAGGGAGAAACATAAATGCAGGTGTAAATAATACACATACGTGCGTCCAGTGGGCTGCCATATCTGGCTGAATTTGAATTCAAACTAAGGCAGGTCAGAGTCGGTTAGAGTCCTTGTACAAGGAGTCATCCTTACAACCATTCATTTAGTGACCATTCAAAGTTACATCACTGAAAAACGCGGCCAGGCCCAGTTTTGCAGCCAAGTTTTTGCAGAGATGCTGTTCTTGTTGTTGGTCATGAAGCCGTGTCCGACCCATCGCGACCCCATGGACAACGTTCCTCCAGGCCTTTCTGTCCTCTACCAGAGTCCATTTAAGCTCACACTGACTGCTTCAGTGTCTCCATCCCTCCCCCTCCTTCTCTGCCATCTCCTCCTTCTTTGGCCCTCCATTGTTCCCAGCATTCGGCTCTTCCCCAGGGAGTCCATCCTTCCTTCTCATGAGGTGGCCCAAAGTCTTTGGGTTTCATCTTCAGGATCTGGCCTTCTAAAGAGCAGTCAGAGTTGATCTCCTCTTGGAATGACCGGTTGGATGGCCTTGCAGGCCAAGGGACTCATGGGAGTATTCTCCCGCCCCAGAGTTCAAAGGCCTCCATTCTTTGGCGCTCAGCCTTCCTTAAGGGCAACTTTCCCAGCCATACATGGCAACTGGGAAAACCAGAGGCTTGCCTCTACGCCCTTTTGTTAGCAGGGGAATTTCTCTATTTTTAAGAATAACAAAGATGCTATTCTTAGCCAAAGCCAATCGGGATTGTGTTAGCTGAGCTCCATTCTCTCTCTCTCTCTCTCTCTCACACACACACACACACCCCTCCTCCTCCTCCGAAGGACAACAGAACCATCAGCTGTGCAAACTATGCGGCTACAGCCCTTTTTGCACATTTACGGATCAAAGGTCTCTTTTTGCGCATCGCTTGGTTAAAAGTAACCCGATCTGCTCCTGATGCTGGCTTGAATCGGCGCTTCACCGATTGATTTACTCGGCCTGAGTGGATTGATTTAGTCGGCCTCCCCCCACCCTCGTGCCCTGGGGGCTTGTGGGCTGTGGGAAGGCTGCTAGAGCTGCGGGTTGCGGGTGTAGGTGAGAGCAGGTGTGGGCTCTCTGACGGCGGTGGCGCAGGAGCGCCGGGGATGGACAGCCGGCGAGAGCGCATCCTTTGCAGCTCTTCTGAATGTAAGTTCGCCAGCCAAGGCCCCCGTGTGTGTGTGTGTGTGTGTGTGTGTGTGTGTCAAGCTTTCTCCCCCCTTTGGAAGTGCCTGGGTGCCACACCGAGAGCGTGGGAAAGGGCTGCTGGCGGTGGGCTGGTGGGGAGAAACGAGTTATGGTGCCAAAGATCCACGCGTGGATTCGGCTCGGAACTGCCAATAGCCGGGCGGCCGCTAGAGGGCGGCAGAAAGAGGCGAGGCACTTGGGTGGGTTGCCGCCCTCCAGTGGCCATCCGGGGTTTTGCAGCCGGCAAAAAAAGAAATAAAACCACTGAGCAGGAGTTAGGAGCAGCAGCAGCCTTGATGCAACATGGAGAAAGCAAGGTTAGACCTTCTTAAACCCGTTTCCCACCTCCCGCTTTTTTTAAACCCCCCCCCCCCCCCACAAAAAAAAAAAAACCCAACGTTGACCTATATTTGCAAAATCCTCAGGAGTCCAACTTAGAGGGGAAGGAGGCCTCGGGTTGGCTCTTCGAACTGGCTGTTTTCTGCAGCTAAGGAGCGAGCGGTAGGGCTAGATGACCTCCAAGGTCTTTTTCCAACGCCGCGATTCTGGAACCCTGCCTTCTCCAGGCTTGAGTTAGGCTTAGGGGGTGGGGTTAGATGACCTCCGAGATCCCTCTGGAAGGGTCTTCTGCTTGAGCCCCGTGGGTTGGACCACATGACCTCCGAGGCTCCTTCCAACTCTGCGATTCTGTAAGGCTTGCTTTTCCCTTTGTTTTTCTTTAAAAAAATATTTTATTTTATTATACAAATATTCCATCTTTCGTTTAAACAGTGTGTCACCTGGGTACAAATACCTTGTGCAATATCCATTACAACCAGTACATGTTCATTACTACTCTATCATGACTCTATTCTTACTTCATACTACTGCACATCATGTATCCAATTATAATAACAATTAGCATGTTTGATTCTTATTCACACGTTTATCTGGCTTTGTATTTGGAGGGGCTCAGATGCAAGCCTGCTTTGCTGATCCAACCGCCCTTTCCACACACACACCCTTCTGCTGTTAGCAGTTTGGGTCACATGTTTGGGAATGCAATGCAGTCAGAGCAAATTACGCCAGTGCAAAGTGTCACAATTGTGCAATTAGGAATACTTATGGGTGTTTTATCGCCTTAGAAGGAACACTACGAGAGAAAAGTGGGGCAAGCTTGGCTGTTTCAGGTTTCTTTTTTAAAAAAACAAACTTTCCCTGCAGGTTTTTCAGATGGAAATGTGTTTTTTACGTGTGCGCTCCTAAAGAGGCTTAAGAAATAACACTATTTTATCCTTTGCCTTCACCCAAAGACAGGGAAACGGAACAACTGCAAATTTTATTTTATTTTATATGGCTGGGCCAGAGATAAAAAAAATATTGAAAAGAGGTTTCTCTATTTCTGAAAGCCTGATGGTGCTTAATGGGGACACAGCACATCGCTTCAACCACCTTGAGAAATCGGACTCAGTAAAAACAATAAACCGTCCTGGTTTCTTCATAAGATATTTTTGTAGAATCGGCTGCAGAGGTTTGATGCTTGCTTACTACAAAGTTTATTAGGGTTGCTGGTGGTGGGGTTCCCTTTAAAAAAAAACACCACAGGGTTTTGTGCTTAAATAAACCCAGATTGATTACCAAGAAAAAGAAAAAAAAAACACCTCAAAAAAAATTTATTCAAAATGTTTTTAAACCAGGTTTCTCCAACTTTGGCAACTTTAAAGACTCGTGGACTTCAACTCCCGGCATTCTTCAGCCGGCTGAGAAACTCTGGGAGTTGAAGTCCACAAGTCTTAAAAGTTGCCAAAGTTGAAGACCCCTGTTTTAAACTAAATTATTGTTATCTATTGAATTCAGGGTTTGCCAACACACCCACCCCCAGATTTTGCATTTAAATAAACCCAGATTCGACACAGAAAGAAAAGATCGGCTTCAAACCATTGTTTTTTACCTATTTAATACATACTGTACAATCTTAATGCATGGAAAAGTTTAGATTTTGTTAAATTATAAAAACAAAGAACTCTAGATGGGTTTCAACACCTTAAAACGGCCCTGATAATTAACTGGGTTAGCTTGCCACTCTTAATCCGAAGCAAACAAATTGTATTGTGAGTGGGATTATGAAGCATTAAAGCTGCCTCGTGTACTGTGGAATGGAATTAGAAAATACAAGGGTGAAGCTGAAGAAATTACCTTCAAAGTTGCAGAGGAGGCCTCAGGGGGCTGCATCCCTCAACATGTCTCAGTGCAGCTCAAAAGTCATGCATGCAAATTTTAAGCTTTTAAAAACCCCTGCAGTTCCCTTTTAATATGCAAAAATAGCTCTGGGTGCAAAATAAAAACAATTAAAAAAAACCAGCGACATCAGTGCATTCCTTCCTGTGAAGTCAGTCAGTGAACACTAACATTCTTCATGTTAGAAAGATTTCCAGCTAGTAATCCACTTAAAAACCATCCATTTAGCCAATATTTTAAGTCCAAGGTCCCCAAACTTGGCAACTTTGTGGACTTCAACTCCCAGATTTCTCCATCCAGCATTTCTGATTCCTTTAGAGCAGGGGTCCCCAACCACCGGTCCGTGGACCGGTACCGGTCCGCGGAACAACTCCTACCGGGCCGCGGCTTGCTGGGCGCCGCCATCTTTTTTTCATGAAAAAGTGCTTCCGGTGAGCTTTTCCGGGTAGAAAGCTCACCAGAAGCACGTTTTCATCAAAAAAAGATGGCGGCGCCAGCGCTTCCGGTGAGCTTTTCCGGGTAGAAAGCTCACCGGAAGCACGATTTCATCAAAAAAAGATGGTGGCGCCCAGATGATGCCGGTACTGGGCCGCGGCGCCCAGCTGATGCCGGTACCGGGCCGCGGCGTCAAAAAGGTTGGGGATCACTGCTTTAGAGAATTCTGGGGCTTGGAAGTCCACAAGTCTTAAAAGTTGCCAAGTTTTGGGAACCCCTGTTTTAAGTTAGGACAATACTGGGGAGGGGAAAAAAAAACCCAACAAACTTTCAACCGGTCCTTGCGCTTGTGACCATTGCAGCGTGGTCAGTACAGGTAGTCCTGGACTTATGACCACAATGGAGCCCACCTTTTCTGTGGCTTGAGTGAGAAGCACTGAATTTTGCCTCATTCTGTGACCTATCTTGCCACGGTGGTTAAGTGAGTTGCTGCAGTTCAGTTCATCACACAGTCACTAAAGGGAATCCAGCTTCCTCCATTGACTTTGCTTGTCAGAAGGTCGCAAATGGGGGTCACGGGAGCCCAGGAAGAAAAAGAGCCGAAGAAGCTTCTTGGATGAGAAGTGAAATGCCTTCAAAGAAAAACCAGAAAGTTCAGTGATATTTTGAAAAAAGCACCTTTGGGACAACCATGAGTTGGATGGCTGAGAATCTCCATGGACTTGTGGCTTCTTGGATGAAGCTAACTGGGTCAGAGGCTGGTATTTTTCTGAGAAAATTTTAATGGACAGTAGTCCTTGAAACTGGTTTGCAATTGCTTTCCTGCTTCTAACTTGCATGGATTTATTAGTGGAGTGATGCAACCTTCACCACAAATTTCTTTCATGGGAGAGATGGAGAGAGAGATATTTTTTGAATACTATTGAAAAGGATACAAGAATGGGAAAATATTATACACAAACACACATTGTACAGTAAATATTTCAAAATTAAACAATCTTGTTTTTCAAATTGTATGGAGAGAGAGAGAGATGGATGGATGAAAGGAAGCAAACAGATTTCCTGCCTAAGTAGGGGGTTGGACTAGAAGACCTCCAAGGTCCCTTCCAACTCTGCTATTCTATTCTATTCTATTCTATTCTATTCTATTCTATTCTATTCTATATTCTATACTCCTGGCTTCTTAGATGAGGAAAGATGGAGTGTGGGATTTTGTTTACGAGTCAAAGAGTACCAGGGAGGACATATTAAGAGTTCATATCATTCTGAATTAATCCAGTTCAGAAACTGGATCATTTCCAACCTGCTTTACACAATCCCTTCGCTGTCTTTGGGGTAGATTTAATATTGCATCCGTTTTGAAAGAGGAACGGTTACAACAGTTTTTTTTCTGCTGCTGGGAAAGCATTTTTTTTTGGTCTTGACAACCCAAATCAATAAAATCAAAAGTTCTGATTTAATTTGGTTGTTTAATTCGCAAATCTTTTGGAGAACACACAAGTCTGCTGTTGGATTTTTCAAGAGCTTCACTTGCTTCACTTAAAGTGAGCCTTG